ATAAATAAATAAATAAATAAATAAATAAATAAATAAATAAATAAATAAATAAATAAATAAATAAATAAATAAATAAATAAATAAATAAATAAATAAATAAATAAATCCCATTAAAAAATATTATGAAATATTGTATGAAGTCAATAAAAAAACTAATTAATTCATTCAGAGTTGGAGCGTTCCTGGTTTGGCTGCCAACCATCGCTGACCAGTTCGTGCGCATACTGCAGTCTGGTGATAACTCCGACCTGACCATTTGTGATATAATCGGCATGGAAGCACCCATTAATGTGAGCACCAAGAACTTTACTATGTCTTATGATTTACGGTTTACATATTTTTCCCAGATCTCAATAGGTAAAAGGTGAATATTGATTACTCATTAAGGGCAGTTTTAAATAGCTCTATTTTCTGGAAACATTTTGAAAATAACTTCCATACCGTCGTGTCAATTATGTTACTTAGATCTCAATCCATTCAGGATGTAAAAATTAAATATAATTCTTTAAATTCTTTCCCTAACATGTTACGGAAATGTTTTACAAATCAGCCTAATTATTCTTTGTTCACATTTTCAGGAGGATGCTGTACCCTGCGCCATGGATGAAACCTCCTTGCTGATCGTACTCGGGTTGGGAGTAATGCAGTCTATCTTCAACTTTATCATGAGTTTGGTGAGCAAAGATTTAAATAGCAATGAATTATATTATCATTTATTAATAATAAATGTATATCTTGTGTCAGTTGGCCCAGAGACCATCATTCTCTGGTAGAAATTACCAGTAGATACTTGGAAAATCTGACAGTGATACTTAGTACGATATATGATATGAATGAATGACAAAAATTGCAATGTTTAACATACTTTTTTACTTACTTCTGTATAAGAACCTATTCACTTCTTCAAGTAGGTGTGACGTAAGCAAGATGGATAAGTATAACATGAGATTTAACTCCTATTTCTACTTTTCCAGCTATTGGGCTTAGTGGGTCGTCGTAACATGGTGCTGGTCGTGACTGCACTATGCGGCGTCTGTGGTATCTTGGTGAACCTGGTGCCTAACGCCATCGGCAGTGCCGTGCTGTTCGCCATATTCCTCCAGGGCGTGGTCGTCATTGGATTGTACACCGCTATTGTGGTCGCCATATTCCCGACCAATTTGAGGTAAGTGCATAACGACTAACGTAACTTTGAACAATATTAGTGCTCATAAATATTCAACGTAACACTTAGTTTTTAACCTAACCCTTATTTGGTTTTTTGCTCAACCTGAGAACCAAACCCTAGGTAACTAATACAGCACCCACTTTACTAAAAGGGCCCTCACGTACTATGATGCATTTAGCAAAAATGGAAAAGCGTTTTAATAGTGGTCTTTTTCTGTCTGGGGGTTAACATAGGTAGGTACATTGAATATGTGCGCACACCTGAACCTCAACTCAAATTACCATTTCATGTTTCCAGGGCCATGGCAATTGCTCTTCCAATGACGTTTGGACGTATTGGCACATTCGCATCCGTACAGATCATCAATTTGATGTTGGTTAACAGCTGCGAAGCTGGCTTTTATCTCTTCTCTTGTATTTTCGGAGGTAAGTGTCTCTACTTGCAAAGATACAGACCGTTTCCTAGAATACAGAAACCAACATTAAACACAATTTATTGTATTACAGCATCTATGATTGTCGCACTATTTCTACCGGACGACCGTCGCCTTCAAAAACCAGTAGCTTCACCGCCACCACCAGTAACAATAGTTGAAAATGATGAAATACTCAGAAGAGAAAGCGAAAAAATGTCTTACTTGTAAATATATTAGTAAAATAGGTACCTAATTTAAGTTAGAATTTATTTATTATCTTGTTAAGTTTTATATTCATTTAAAATAATCAGATCAGTGTAACATAATTATGTGTTAGTAATTTAAGTAATTATGTGCAATAAATAAAAATCTACGATCTATTTGCCTTTTTCCTAACATTCTAATAAATACTAATTTCTGGAATGAAAATAAGTTTACGAAGTCAGCTAAACGCTCACAACGGAGCAAGATTATTTGACAACAGTGACACATCATACTGACAGCTGTCTTTGTAAACGCACCAGTTGCGTTTGTCACTCTTGTCAGCTCGGTTATCAAAAAGTCGTGATAAAGATTTCTATCAGTTGAAAGTGAAATAACTCTAAATTAAAAACATCGATCGCGGGCGGCGGCTGTTCTTCGCAGAGCAACGTCCAAGGACACTCGGCTGATTACAGAGGTGACAACAACTTGTATTATTATGTTCGTCCTTGCCCGTCGACGGCGATCAGGCGACCTATCGCATTGATTTTTCTATAAACCGAGCTAGTAAATATTGGTTAACGCTCATTAATCAGTATAAGATGTCTTTGAGGTTAACGGTGTCGGCGCTATAAACATTGGGTCATGTATTGCGGGCGCACATAACACTGTTTAGTTTATCTCCAGCACTGCGTGTGGTGACTGTAAGAGTCGGTCGCACGATACTACTTAAGATAATAACCGTGATAATTAAAGGTGAGCTGATAATCAACCTTAATGCAGATTATAAAAATATTCACTATGAAGGCTACATTTTAGAGATTAATAAGTTAGTACGAATATATTATTTGGCTCTTTTTATTAGTTTGTTGTAATCTAAAGTCTAATCAATTGTCATCTGATTTTTAGTGGCCAGATTGTTTTGATAATTTTGTTTATAAAAAGATAACAAGCTTGGAAAGATAACTTATGAATCATAAGTAGGTTACAAAGTGTAAAAACTGTGTGAATATTGTACTTAATTTTCTACAATATTCTAACTGACTCAAGGCAATTCAACTGCAAGTCAATCTCTCTAAAAATCCATTTATTTTATTTAAATAAATCTAAATAGGTACACTATTCTTTATTCAAATTCAAATTACAAACATTTAAATAAAGAAGCTAATTTATATTCCAAACCGTTTAAAAAACTTGCCATGGAAAAAAAATATTCGATTATTACAATAATATTAGAGCAAGTAGGTAAGTATCTAATTTACATGTTAAGCATTCAAAGTGAACATAAAATCAATTGTTTGTATATGATGAAATCCTACAAGGGCTAAGCTTGATCAACATGTATCAAGTGTCCAATGATCCAGTTTAAATTTAGGTAATCCTGTTATAAAACATGACACACTTATGCAGGTATTTGTTCAGAATTTCATTGCATTTGCATACAGCCAGACTTTGTGAGCTCAACAGACAATAAAACAGTAAGTTATGTACATCTTACAATTTATTTTATTTAAACATATCTTGCCGCACTTGCAAATGTGTTTAGCAAACACCAATTTAATTTCACTTAGATCTGACAGACAGCTATTTTTATGTATTATTGTTTTTATGCAGATTATATTTAATCATTTTATGCAATGGCAACACTGGCTGCTATAGGTTAAAATAAGTATAATCTGCAGCCACTTGTTGCTTTTCTTTGAATGTCAGGTATTTTGTTTTTAATATCAATGCTATTAGGTACTTAGTCAATTTAATTATATTATTATAGCATCCGAAGTAACATTTTTATTCTAGTAAATAAATCAATAAATTCTAAAAAAAAAACCAATCATTCGAACATAGTACCTCCTCCTTTTTTTGAAGTCTGTAAAAATAGGTGCAGATATTAAGAATCCCCATTCATATTCACATACTATAAACTTGAAACTAATTTTTAATATTATGTTAACTCGTCGAATACCGGTTTTGTAGACACAATTATAGAACAATAGGTTGCGGTCACCGGTGACCGCTTGGTGTTTGACAGTTTAATATGAATACAATTATATAAAATATAGATTTTATATAATTTCTGGTATATAATTATTTACAGTCAGCCAAGATATTTTCCTATATAGGTAAGAAAATTTATAAAGATTGATTCAGCATAGAAACATTAACCTTTTTTGCAATACGTAGCTGCCCAATTATTACGAAACAAATAGCTTAAAATTTTATATAACAACAGCTACTGCCCCTGTACTAAATCAATCTTTATTTTCTTACCAAATAATATCTTGATTGTACATGTGTACATACTTATTGAATAGGCTGTCATGGATCAATAACTCTAGTTTATAGACAGTCTATCAATTTATTGTATAGCTATAAACTCAATACGACCAGACAGGTACCATCTGACCCGAAGAACCATACGCGTAAACCGTATTGCGTCAAAATCAATAGATATTGTGTAAAAAGTACACTAGTTACTGCCTTATAGCAATTTTTTTTGATCTGTGTAACATTGGTATTCTGCTGTTGAAGGCGCTAACAATACAGATAAAATAAATATGTGATTTATTCGAAGGAGGATTTTTTGAAGGCCAGGGCGTAAGCTTTGGTTTTTATTTGAATTATTATTCCATGTGATAGTCCTGTTCTTAAAGAATTAAGAACACTCGGGCTAGATAATATCATAATACAACACTTCAAATAGAGCAAATGACACCATCGAGCAGTGTTCATCATCTTCATCAGCCCGTATTCGTCCACTGCTGGACATAGGCCTCTCCAATGGCACGCCACTGAGCTCGGTCTTCAGCTCTTCTCATCCAACCGCTGCTAGCCACCTTGCAGATGTCGTCACTCCACCTAGCTGGAGGGCGCCCTACACTGCGTTTGCCTAGACGCGGTCTCCACTCCAGAACACGTTTAGTTCTTCTGTTTTTCTTATTGTTAACGAGCAGTGTTAACAATAAGAAAAACAGAAGTAAAAAATAATTTCTTCCCAATTAACATAGAGTTCCATTTTCCACAGCTTAAGACAACGGCGTCAGTAAGTCAAGATGGCGAGCAGTTCGTGGGAGGAGTTCTTCGCTGTCCACCTGCCTCCACCGGACTTTGAGGACAACAGGTCACTGCTGAAGGAGTTCTGCGAACGACATGACCAGTACGGGAACAAGATTGTACTTGTTACGGTGAGTTAGTTAAATTTATTTATCATTTTACATTGAGCTGTGCTTCGGTACGTATGGACCGGCTCTATCGGAGTGAAAACACGGCCTCACAGAAAATCGACGTGAAACAACGCTTGCGTTGTGTACTAGAGGTCACTAACCGGTTCACAATGCTCTCGTAACTTCTATAGTAGCCGTGGACGACTTAACGGGTTACCGGAGCTCCGGCTCGAATTGCAGGTGTAGGAACGGGGTGGTTTTTAGTCAGTAAGAGTCCGACATTCGTTCTCGCCTCACCAGAGCGGGAGAATTCATTGGAGTATTTTCCCTTCTCAAAAAAAAAATACTTCTATAGTATTGCGGGTATTCATAGACGGTTCTGAATTCTTACCATCAGGTAACACACATGGTCGATTTGCAAGTTTAATCCACAAGTCGGACAAACCAGTGGGTTAAGTTTAGATGAGTACATTGCCCACAGACAGACTGTGGGAGAGTTCGTGTTGAAACGTAGGTTATAAATAATTCCTAGTTGTCACTTACGTCGTACATTTATTACAATAACAATAAAAGCTAGTTTCATTGCTCTGACGAACAAAAACCAACCTTGTAGTTTTATTTTATGATGTGCAAGCGAAATTCAGCCTTATGGTAGTAAAGTAATTTTATGACCGATTATACGACACGAATTAACTCGTCGAGTACCGGTTTTGTAGACACAATTATAGAACAATAGGTTGCGGTCACCGGTGACCGCTTGGTGTTTGACAGTTTAATATACATTAAGGTTGTTTATTGTTTGTTTGGCGTCTATACAGACGCATATCAAGCTTCCCCAATAATCTAATTAATTTAATAGATTTTCAATTTAATTATAATTATGGCAACTACTTCAAAAACTAAAAACAGAAATTGGTACCTACTAAGTAATAAGTTTGTATTATGTATATTGGTATACAACACTTATTTTTATTATAATATCTCCCTAAAGTAGGTTAATCACGTTACTGTATTATTCTAATGTATAATTAAACAGAATAATTCGTCGTTTATTGCTTTATTACAATTCATTAATGTTGCTTATAATTTCATAATGCTTAGCACTAAAGAATATCGTAAAAGGCGAATGTTTCCCATAGGAACTATCAAGTTAGGTCAAAATTTCAAGTATGTATGTTCTTTAAAATCAAATTATCAAAGTCAAAGCATTTATTTCAATCAAACCATAATTTGGTACTTTTGAATCGTCAACAAATACAAAATAAATAATAGTCTGTCAGTCTGTCCGTCAGTGAAGCTAGGTGCTCGTTTCAAGATGTGGATTCGAATGGAGAAGAACGAGCAAAAAACTCCATGCGTTACTCTTATATGTTTAATGATCTAAGATTCTTGGCAATATAAACAGAATGTTAACTAGCAATTTGAAACAGAATACATATACCTATAGCAGATTAAATCTTGATTTAAGAATTTGAAAAGCAAATCTACCTTTTCTGTAAAGAATTGTATCTCTTCGAAAGAATCGAATAAATAACATACGAGTAATTCTAGACTTTGTAGAACACAAATGTTTGTACAACAACAAAGATATACTCCTATAATTTGAAATCCAGACATCCTAATATATCTGTCTAGGTCAGAGTAATTTTCGTAATGTGAAAAGGTTCCAAGTATATGCAATCAAGTAATTAGGTTACACAGTGGTGGAACATGCCTTGACCTTTGGTAACGAAATTACTCGTCAAATTCTAGTAGTAAAGACCAGGCAACAACTAGTAGGTATAGGTGATATAGTATAGGCAGTAATTCGTCATAGTTGAAGGCTGAGTTAGATTTAGTATTCGCATAATGAGCTAGCATTTTGTGAAGGTTGAAAATCTTGATAAGACTAGGGTCGTAGGTAAAGTTTTGAAAATTATTTGTAGTAGCTATGACTAGTAAGAGTCTGTTAGTATAAACTAGTACAGCTAGTGCTAATGCTAAAATTATTTTAAAAACGTCCATTTGTGTATGAGGTTTTAAAACATATTCAATTAAAGACGCCAGTAATGTTTAACACCTATTTCTAGGACCTTTTTTCATAAGAAAAATGCTTCCAATTATTCGCCAGTTAGGTAAACTGAGACTTAACCAAAAGTGTTGAATAAGGCCCTTCAATTCAATCAGTATTCAATCAGTTTTACGGACTATAAAAGACTGTATCAAAATGCCTTAAACATAATTAATAGCCAACATTTTAAAACACATTAAATCATATCCATAAAGTCTTTATTACAATAAAACGTATATATGATAACTTAATCGTAGTGCTTAGTACCGTGTCTGCATTGCGTGTTCCGATGTCCCAGGAGACCCCAAGCAGTAACTTCAGTTATGTGATAGTGATCACACTGAATGCGGCGCTAAACCGTTAGTTATTATGAACATGTCGCACGGATTCATTACTTATTTATTATTACAACTTCATTGTGTATTTCACTTGTAGTACGAAAACCAACCTTATTATTATGAGTTTGAATTTAACTTAAGACGGTGAATGTCCAAATGTCTAGCGTGGCGCATTATTTTGTCCCAGATGGCGTTCAACGTGTTAAAATAAGTAGTTCACTAATGTCCCTAGTGAATTATAAAAGACGATAGCGCAAAGACACTGTCTTTTGTACATCTGCAACTTGTATCATATAATATTTCCACATGTTCTTTCCAGTCGGGAGGCACGACAGTCCCGCTGGAGCACAACACGGTTCGCTTCGTGGACAACTTCAGCGCTGGTACTCGAGGCGCCTCCTCCACGGAGTACTTCCTGGAGCAAGGGTACGCGGTCATCTTCATGCACCGCCAGAAGTCGCTGGAACCCTTCACCCGACACTTCACTGGCCAGAAGCTACTTGATATGCTTGAAATCCAAGATCGAGGACCTAATACTACTATTTCGGGTAAGTTTACATGTATAGAGAATTTAATACTTACCTATCTCTTAATGTAATTAACGTGGAGACAAAGAATTAACGTGTAGGGCAAAGTTAGCATGTACTTCGCGTGTATGTACGCAGTAAAAGTCAGTTTTTAGCACTTTCTACAACATTCTCTCATAGTCCCAAGAGTCCATCGTCCTGAATGTCAGGACCATTTCATAACATTAACATTTTGTCTTCGATTTCATCATGATGATTTTACATCAATACTAATAGTTCTTATATAAATTACGTTTAAAGAAACCGACTTCAACCGCCTCTTTTTTCGAAATCGTTAATTAATATACTAAATGTGCTCTGCCTGATTGACTGATTGACTGCCTCGTTGGCTGAGTGATCGCAAGTGCGACTCAAGCCGGGCAAGGGGTCTCAGGGTTCAATTCCCGGGCCGGACAAAATATAACTGGATTTAAAAAAAAATCTTAGTAGTAGCACGGAGTCTGTAATTGTGCCCGGTATATGGTTATAGGCTGACCCCCTATAACATGGGACTCATAATAGTGAAAAGTGGGTGTTACATTGTACAGTAGCATTAAGTACCGTAATTTGCACCTCTGCCTACCCCTTCGGGGATAAAAGGCGTGATGTTATGTTAATATACTAAAACCTTATAAGTGTAACAAACTGTTCTGAAAACCGCATTAAAATCGGTTCAGCCAATCGCGAGGTAAACGCGCACAAACATACATACATACGTCATTCATACCATCATCATGAAGTCGGTTAAAAATAAAACCTTTCCTCCAGTGAAACCAGACAGCGTAGACGTCTTAGCTCCGATCCTCCTTCGCTACAAAGCTGCACACGCGGCGGGCGCCATCTTGCACGTGTCATTCACCTCGGTGTCTGAGTACTTCTGGTTACTGCGCGCCGCCTGCGAGTGCCTCGCCAACCTGGGCGCCAGGGCCGTACTGTACCTGGCTGCGGCCGTCTCTGACTTCTATATACCCAAGGATAGAGTGGTAAGTGACACTGGTTTGTTGTTTTTGTGTCGATCCAACTGCTGTATCGCTTTTAATGAATTTTGATACAGAATATGTAATGTTTTAGAATCCCGACACTCCAACGTTAAAAAGGTTGTGCCCTCAAGTTACCTAATGTCTTAACTTGGTGTTTAATTAGAACATATCTATTCAAAATTGTTTATAGTAAGTATTTACCATTAATATCAACTCGTCTCAAAAGTTTTGAATAAAACTGCATCTTTACCACAAAACAATAAAGCTTAAACTAGCTCACAACTCTACCTATAGCTCACTATTACAACTGCCTTCTATATCCTTCAGCCCACCCACAAAATGCAATCAGCGTGTGGAGCTCCTATCATCCAGTTGCACTTAGTCCCGAAGATGTTGGCCCCGCTGGTCAACTTGTGGGTCCCGGAAGCCTACGTCGTGTCTTTCAAGCTGGAGACTGATGAGAACCTGTTGATTCCTAAAGCAAGGGCTGCTTTGGAGAAGTATAAGCATAAGGTAAGTTGGACATACAGATTATTATTTGTCATCAAAAAGTTCTATTTCGTAAAAGGTTAATTTTGTATACATTTTTTTTTGAGTCGCTACTCTAAAAAAATCATTAAAACGTCAAGTAAAAATAATAATAATCAATAAGAAATTCTCTGGGATGTAATAAACCATTATTTGATTATGGTTTATTTCTGACTAGCTACTCCAACGCGGTTTCACCCGCTGCTCGGCTCCGTTTGGCCGTAGCGTGATGTTTTATATCCTATAATCTTCCTAGATAAATGCGCTATCCAACATCTAAATCTCACTCAAATCGGACTAGCAGTTCCGGAGATAACCGCGTTCAAACAAACAATCTATTCAGCTTTATACAATAGTATTATACTTGGAATTTTAATTCGATTCCAGATTTGACAATTTCAGTGTTGCAACGTTATGACAAGTACTAAATAGTGACGTTGCGAAATTATTCGATATGGAAATGCAATATTTCTGGATCGATTCTTCTCGTTTATAATTTTACTCTCGTAAACTAAGTATATCAGGAAATTAAATATTTCTGAACCGAAAATTTAGTTTTGACGATTAATTAACGATCTGAGACTTTTCTTTTATAATTGTGTGTGAAATAAATAAAAAAATGTAATCATGAAGGAACATGACAAATGAAACAGATAGATGTATTATGGTAATAAGTTATTTTATAAATTGTCGCCGTCATCGCTATCGCTATCCTGTCACTTTCTGTAACATTTATTATAAAACACACACACTGATTGTTTATCGATTTTTGTGTTCATCACTATACTATAATATGTGGTATCATTATTTCACAAAATGACAGTAGCTATTGTCAAATCTGGAATCTAATTAAAATTCTGACTATAGTATGTATAAGATGTACAGAAAGTGAATTTGTTTTTCTTAGTGTTCTATTTATGGCTAATGTTGGGTGTATTGGTTACAGATGGTGGTAGCCAACCTCCTGCAGACTCGTCATCACCGGGTGATCCTGGTGTCTCCCGATATCTCGCAGGAGATCGTGCTCACCAGGGAGGAAGTCCATGCTGGTAAAGATTTGTTCTTAACTCATAATGATTTTTTCTCCGTTTAGTTTGGGCTGTAAATATTTGTTCTTAACTTAGTTATCTGTATCCAAAATTCGTTTTCACAGTCTTTATACTCGTACGTGTTCTGTATAATGCAGATTTTTTAGTGTAGGTGCCGTAATTCCAAACGTTTTTTGTCCTTCTTTCAAGTACAGTACCCGCCGTCCCTATTTGTCTCGTTTTCTTCAACGTTAACTACTACATATAGGCAACTTGGTTATGATATGACTAATACATCACATCAAGTTACCCTACCTATCTCTCAAAATTTACATTACATTAAAAAAATATTATCGACTCTGCTTATTAGCAATAAAGTTGAAAATCTAATGACAAATTGCTTAACTGGTAAAATGTGAAAAATGTTTGGTACAGGCGTGGACATCGAGTCGTCGATAGTATGCGAGATAGTCCGCCTGCACGGGCTGCACATGCGAGTGGCGGGCGAGCCGGTGTCGCCGCCGCGCTCGCCGCGCTGATCCGTGCGCGCGCGGCCACGACTCTACCTCACCAACGAGTAGCCGCGCCACCGCCACTTCCAAAACAGTGACTAAATAATGACTTCTATGTGCTGTTTACCCCCTACAACTATGACGTAAGTGACATAAATCGAACTTAAACGTGTTAATCTAACTTAAACCTTCTGTGTGTGTTTTTAAGTGTTTTTCGTGGACTGTACTTGATTCTGAGCTGATTTTCTTTCGTATTGTTGTTGTAACACCTGTATACTGTCACAATTTAGTGTTACTAGTATGTTACTTAAATTACTGTGTACTAAAATATGTGAGAAAATCCGCTTAGTATTTCTGCAAGCATACAGGATGTAGTGATGTCGTGTATCAAAGTATCTTATATCGATAAATCTATGAACGCTACTGTAAGTACTAAAAGTCGATGGACATATTTAATCGAGTCTTTATAAAATATTATAGCGAATATTTTTTATTCTGGTGTTTGTTGTAAGTATCTTTGTGACACTAGTGTTGTAATATCGACTTGCAAAACTATCGATTGTTTCTTAATCGATATAAAAACTTCTCGAATAGGTAATCGATCGCTGCTATTATGTTATTGATTGATGATATTAGTATCTTTTATCTTATTATAACTATACTATCTTTTTGCATAGGGAAGGGATTCTTCACGTTTTATCGATAATTTATTTCATATTGACACAATACTTTTTTATTAGTATTTGTTAAGTAATCAATTGAATCATCAATATTTATCTAGTAGTCGTATTCGATGTTTTACTGTAAACACGTGTTGAGATAAAAAAAAAACACGTTGCCTTAAGAAAAAAATATGGTCAATATGAAAAACAAAAGCGTCAGAAACACAAATCGATGTTTTAAAAAAACTAATATGTCTGACGTACATGGTTCATTGACACCAAACATATCGGTTGTGGGTCATATCACACGATACGATAGCACAGCCCTTGGCCGTTTTAAGGTCGATCCCAAACCCGATACCCCCCAATATCGGCACCTAAAAATACAATGATGAAACTCCACGAAATATTGACATTACTGTAAATGTTACAAGACTAAAAATATTTTAATGTTATCGTTGTGTTGCCAGTCTAAATTATTATTTGTTGATATATAAAAAAGATTTATATCAGTTGCGTCTTTTGGCTATTTATAAATTGTATTTAAATATTAAATGTTTCAACTATATGTGCCCCAGTATGTTCTGACTAGATTTTATATGTCTGTATTGTATAACTATGAAACTTAATGTCTAAGTGTATCATAGTTTTAGACTGTAAATAGGTATAATATTCAAAATATATCTATCATGAACTTCCAATAGGATTTTAAATGTTTACTCTATAAAAACTATATCATAATTGTACTATTTATTATTGAATTTTGTCATGAGGTAACACTGGTTTATATCAAAAACGATAGTAGAAAGAAGGTTTTATATCGTATTTGGTATAAAGAGTTTAATTGTTAGTTAAATGGTTTTTGATGTGTAGACATAATTATATTAGTTGTTAATGGGTTATATAAGATTTATAATTAATGTTATACCTATGTATTCTTTATATCAATGTTTTATAGGGCCTTAGGTGCAGGTGAATTAACATTGAAATTAAAAACGAAATAATTAGAAGTCAACTTCACAGGATTTTAGAGAGAGAACAGTTTTTCGAAATCGCTAAAAACGTTTGAAATGAGTTAAAACATAGTGTGGTGTTAATGGGAATTAAGTGTCCCCCTATTTTATGGGACTCATAACATGGGTTATTAGTGGGTGTTACATTGTGTAGCTCTATCTCTGCCCATGTCTTCGGGGATGAAAAGGCGTGGCGTTATATTATTATACACCTGCATCTTATATTTATTCAAAAGTATCAATTTTATTGATATTGCTATTTATATTATTATTAACAAATATATCTCTTTATTTACAATTCTTTTACATACGACGTGGTTATTGTATATTAGTTCTTATTACAAGTAGGTAAGGTTTAAATGATTATATTTATGTACTGTAAAGTTATACGGGATGTTCCAAAACTCAACGATAAGAGATATGGTGATAGACTCTGATAAAGAAGTGAATATATATCACTTTTTTTTCGTTGATTTTTGGTACACACTGTATATGTTTTTTTTATTTGTATATTAATGGTTAAATGTTGTCTCGTGTTAGGCTTAGGCTTTTGTTTCTACTTCTAACTAGATTAACTCCTCAGGACCACAACTTTGTAAGACGGATATAAGATAGCATTTTGATTAAAAGAAAATCTTACGACTCATATTTAAATACATAGATTAATTACTGTAAATTGGAAAACACAAGCCTTATTTTTAAATGCCTTATTTGAAATTTTTGTATAATAAACTTTTTTCAGACATAGTAAGTTAATAGACTTTATATGGCTTGTACGTTTGCTATTTTCGAGCCCGACTACTTTCGCGCTGCACCGGGGGTCTTTAATTTAGGCTAAAACGGATTCTCGAAATAGTATATGTAAGTCGTATAAACTTTATTCAAATCTTCAAAAGTCATTGGTACTATTTTTAAGCATTTCTAGTAGTTATTAAATATTTTGATGTTCTGTTATTACAAATTGAATATTTTACACTGAGTCCCTGTTCCACCACTTCTGATTTAGTTACAATTAGTATAACTGACAGATTATTTCACGTATTTTTCACTCATTACGAAATGCATCGAACTATTTGTCAGTTACTCTAAGAGAAACTTCTGTAGTCGTGAAAAAGACCTTTACAGTATTGTTTTAACGATATTAAAAAGTTTTACATATCAAAAGCACACAATGGTCCATCAGTGGACAGTTTTTAGTTTTGTTTTTAACAGTTGTTACTTGTCTTGTGTATAACTATGGGCCCAAGCGTGGTTTGAAACTAGTCGAGTCACCTCGAACAGTTACGGGAATGAACCGTACAACAAAACTAACTTTCAAATTGTTATTAGTAGTTTATTTGTTCCTCGTGTTAGTCATTGTGCTTATAATTTTAACACAATTAATTTTGTTGATAAGCTTCCTAGATAACTTGGTGCCGGTTTTATCTAGTTTCAAGTTAGTACTAGTGAACTATTATTGTTCTTTGAGTTTTGTTATCTCTTAGAAACACTTCGGTTTTCTATGATTCTGTTAGACAGAGAAACGTTTTTATACGATATGTTATTATAACGTCATCACTTTCTTAGGAAACTTCTTATAAGATCTGTCATCAAAAGATGTTTTGCATTTTTTGTATTATAAGATGGAAATACATTTATATTGATTTAGCATTTAAAAAATAGTGACACGCAAATCAAGATAGTGATAAAAACAGCTACTCTGAAAACTTAGCTTAACTTAGATGAGACAAAAAAGGGCTACAGATAACATCGTCGTTTTTAAAGTTTATTTCACAAAAATAATTCTTCCATAAACTACGTTTAAAAAACCGACTTCAACCCCCCTCTATTTTTAAAACCGGCTAATGAATATAGGTACTAAAACCTTCTGCTGAGTGTAACGAACACTTTTCTGAAAACGGCATCAAAATCGGTTCAGCGAATCGCAAGATAATCGCTCTGAAACATACATACTTACAGGCCAACATGAGAACATCTTCTTTTGAAGTCGGTTAAAAAGACGAAGTTGGGGCCAAAACATATAACGACGTTCCGGCGCCACGCCGCTAGAATCGACATTAGCGTCACTGCCGATTTAAGCGGCGCGGCGCCGCAACGCAACGCTCGTACCAGCATAGCAGTAATGTCTTCTTAATAACAAATAAGCAATAAGTTTTTCACGATGGTTCATGGCAGAGACACGTGATTTTTTGTTGTGGATAGATCCACAATAAAAAATCACGACGAACTGGTTACCCTACCAAACAACAATAAAACGACGTTTTTCACGACGCCGCAACGCAAACTGCCTATTGTAGCGTTGCGGCGACGCAACGCGATTATGTGTTTCGGCCCTTATACGGTAGGAAGCTACGAATAGAGTGGATAACATTAATTGTGTTAAAATTGTATATAGACAATCAAACCTCTGTTGCATCAGGTGCTCCATGTAGAAACTATTCCTAAGGGCTCGTACACAAAACTGCCATGCGATGCGCAGCAAATTACGACACGAATTGCTGCGATGCGATTTCGTGCGACTAGGCGTCTCCTATGGTGACCATTCGTTTGTCGACCGTCAACCGTACTAAACGTATTTTAAATTGAAAACTAGGTCGTGATATAGATCGTAATAAGAAGTATGCACTTCTGTTATTACTTAGGAGATAAAGGAAAAAGAAACAAAAAAGATTTTGGGAAAATAAGATTTTGATGCGCTATGCGAATCACTTCACAAGTTCTTGCGATGCTTTGAAGGAGTTAGCACATTTTTGCGATGCGTCGTCGTATCGCAGTTTTGTGTACGAGTCCTAAAAATATTCGTTGTACGAGCGACAGCTCTTTTATAAATAGTTGATCAATCAAAGGTTTTTAATCGATTTAGTGTTGTCTATCCAAGTTTTTAAATGTATGATAGATAATAATTATAAGTGTTATTCTGCTGCACGGAATGGGAAATATAACTTCTTTCACGGTATGAGATACAGTAACAAGTTACAATAAGTGTAACAAGCACTAGCATCGTGTATAGCGCAACGTGTATCACGAACGTGTATCGTTGCATGTCGCGTGTCAATCTCTGAGTGAATTCGAAGCTTATATGTAACATTCTGTGTAGCATTCTATATATTCACACTCCTAAACTCAGGAATGTTGGTTAACATCAAGAGATGGACATTTACTTTTGTTTTCTTAGGATTTTTTTTATTTTAGACGCGGAACGAACTTTATATTATGTTATCGATATTTAATCGATTAAATTTACCAATGTAATCGATAATTAATCGATTAAATTTACTAATGTAATCGATTAAATTTACCAATGTATTCGATCATTAATCGATTAAATTTACTAATGTAATCGATTAAATTTACCAATGTAATCGATCATTAATCGATTAAATTTACCAATGTGTATACCAAATATTTAATGGACTTGTACTAAGTCACTATAGAGCAAATACTGAAAGGTTACTCAATTTTAAATTGTACTTAAATATCGTACTATGTCTGTCATTTTACAAAGAATTTGTAGTGACAGAACGACACTTAAGCGCGACTTAAAATTGAGCAGTTGAACATATGCCCTTTTCTTTGTGTGTAGTGATTTACCGCTACAGTACCTACGTATTGAAACCACAGATTAAACATGATATTCTACAAGTTAATACGGACTGCACACTAAAGTATTGCCAAAACAATGAACAAAAACTATATTATTATCGAATAGCTCGTTCCTAATGTTCTAAAACTGATATTAAAATGTGTATGAATTGTTTATTTGTGAATTAGATTTGTTTTCTATTATTATGTTAGTTCAATACTATGTAGGGACACGGGAATCTATTTGCGACTAGTTATGACCTTAAATTAAAAAATCCTGGATATCCTTCGGGGAATATAAATGCTAATTGTTTTAAATTGAATTAAATCTTAATTCATCAAGTTTTTAAAATAACTCTACAGTAGTCTACATGTAAACGTCAAAAAATGCATAGATAATATAGGTTTCCCGCGCATTCTCGCGTATTTATATAATGTCGGAAAAATATAACGCGAAAGTTAAATTTAAAAATTATTTATTTGGAAAGTGTATTAAAGCGCTGTGTTTAAATTGTAAGTAAATGTGTGTATTTGGATATAAAGGGTATTTATCGTATAGATGTTGTGACGGAGTGGTGTTTATATCAGACTTATAGAAATGTTCTATGTAGATACATATTATACCTGTTTGTGTGTTTGTATGTTTGCGTGGGAATTTAAACTCCAATTTTTTTATGATAACACATTCAGATTAACGTATTGAACATGGATTTTTAGGTAAATGTTCCAAAATCTACCAAAATGGTAATTTTTCGAGTTACTGGCAACATTGGTAAAATAACTCCTACGCACACATGCAAACAATGATTGTGTAAGTGTATTATCATGTTTTATAACTATTATATCATATTTTATGAAACGTTGATGTGTGAACAACCCGGTCCTCATGTTCTTCAAGTATTCAATCCATATATTATTACCTAGGTGTACTCTACGAATGTATTAGGTAATAACATCCTTATGTACTTGACAATAAGGTCGAATACAGTTTTAACTCTTAACTCTGCCGTCGTGAAAAAGTTGGCGACGGTGCTTACACAAAAGTCTGACTTATGACCACAATGAATTATGTTAATAAGAACTTGATTATTTTTTATAACAAGTACATACTCAGAAATACAATTAATACACATTTTTTTAAATAAGAGTGTTGGAAATGTTATAAAAAAGCTCTTTTCAAAACTTTTGCTAATCAACTGCTATTAAGTTCAACAACCCTTATTACTTATGTTTTAAATGTTTACAAACAAACAAATGGGTGGTCCATAGTCACTAACTTCTTCATGGTGGTAAAGTATTCTCAGCACAATACAGCTAGCTGTTAGACTAGTTTCTACTATCTTTCTTTCTTTCTACTGCTAGATCTGATATGAAAAGTATGAGAGCACGAATTTAATTTAGCAGGTAATCTAACTTTATTAAATTAAGTATGAATAAATATATACAATTTAAAATACAAATATGTAACTAAGGACTAAAATATGTACACCATAAAAAAATTATAATAAAAATGTTATCTTAAGCTGAAGGCATGAGTCGCGGAAAACCTAACGGGTTACCAGGGCTCCGGCTCGACATGCAGGAGAAGGAACGGGGTGGTTTTTAGTCAGTAAGAGTCTGACACTCCCTCCCGCGTCACCCAGGCGGGAACAGGAATTCGATGACTTTCTCCCTTAAAAAAAAATTAAAAAAATTTCCTCATCGCTATCGTGAGGTAGGGTGCCCAAAAGCAAATATATAAACTTTGTCATACGTACATATGATCATACCTACTTATTTAACTCGTCGAGTACCGTCATTATAGACACAATATAGAACAATAGGTTGCGGTCACCGGTGACCGATTGGTGTTTGACAGTTTAAAAAAAATACTTTCAACAATAGGACATGTCATGCTAATCGGTTCTTACGTCACGTCCTTACAAATTACGAACGTACCTATAGAATTGAATTCGTGCTCTCTCTCTCTCTCTCTCTCTCTCTCGCCAAGAAAACTTTTTTACTTGTACCTCTAAGAATGAAATGCTTTCGTGGTGTCATGTAACTTGTAGAAGTTATATTTATAAACATAGATGTCAATAATTAAAGGAACAATTCTAAACTACTATCGCGTAAAACGTGGTGGATAGGGATCGAGTGGTGAGTAGAGACAGAACAGGGGTGAATAGATATTAGGAAATTCTTCATACTATCGATTCATCCCTCTCCTGTCCCTATTCACATCTCGATACCTTTTCACACCAATTAACTGTATGCTACGCTAAGTTAAGTGGTTCTTGATGAACACGAATAAAAGATCGCAGAGGTCACAATTTTCTTTCAAAAATCATAATAATAAATATTAGGTTTTGACCAATGACGTTGAAACAAAAGCGTAATGTCACTTAAAAATTATTAAAGCACCAAAATGTCAGTGGTGTATTCATGTGTGCGTGTACTTGCAACACCGTAAAGTATGAAGTGTAATGACGTACCATGTCACGCGACAGATGTCCTTCGTGTCAATGTGTGTGTATTCTGCGTGTAAGTGTATAGTAGCCAGGTGCCACTGTCAATGTTTCTAGAGACTTGGTCCGCCTTTTTTCAACGTCGTTGCTTATGACTTTAAAGTTTTACATAATCAAATACAAATTATCATAGATATTTCTTCCCACGAAAGCATGAAGTTCTATTTTCAAGTTCTACATAAGTATTGTGCCTACAGTTCCATATTAACGTACTGTACTGCGAGTTTATCTAACATGGGTATCTATCGTTGTGATATTGTACTGTCTATGCTACTCATGGAGACTTTACTACACGTGGATTAAATACTTTGGCATATTTTAATGTATTTACTTGTTTTATTTTATTCACCCGTATGTTTTTGATGGACTAACGAACAAACAGATAGATCACCTAATGGTAAGTTATCGGTACCGCCCATGAACACCGTGTGTGCTCCGGTAATCTCGGTACCGCATATCGGACGTTTACAGGACCCCTATGTAGAGGAAGGCCTAAAGTCCAGTCAGTAGACTATTACAAGCCAATAAAAGACTAGTAAATAGCCAGGTGAGAAGACTAGGAAGTCGTCAGCAACTAACTTAGCATCACAGATATAATTAGGTCCGAACTTGGTCGTAATATTCATACAATGCAATCGATACTTAAACCGACTTAACTTTTACTCCGCAACCTGCATACACGTACATAAATATGGTAGAAGACTAAGGGGAGCTATCGTATTTTTGGTAACTAGGTGGCGCAAATGTAGCTAATGGGTTTTTTTGTCCATTCACTGTAGCTGTCAAAAATTGAACCTCCAATGTTGTGACTCTAGCCAATTTCATAAGCAATTGAACGAAGAACGAGACGTTCACACTAGTGTCATCTGGTGAACAAAATTACGGTAGATACCCCCCATTGTTATCGATTTTACAAGTTACCGAACTATTGCTGACCATAGTTTTCGAAAATAAAACAAAACATGAAATGACAGTTTCTCAGTTCAAAGTTGTCATGGCCTGTCAGAATTGCACTGAAATATTTGTAAATACATAAGAGTACTCGTTTACGTGGTTACATTAGTGGCGAATGTTATAGTTTGCATTATTTTTGTTCAAAATTGACCGAATATGGTGAGTAAGTCACGCGCTATTTGAAACCCAAGATCCCAGTATCTATAGTGGACCTAGCAAGTAGGAACGCATCCCGATTTGTTCACAACGAAAATAAAAAGAAAATGAAGAGAAGTACCAGCACGAACGATTCCTTCAGCGCAAGCAGCACTCAATCTTTTCCAAAATCTCTGCAAAACATATTTCAGGATGATGAAATAGAAGACGTTGTGGGTGAAGTTAAACTTTCAGAATCACAAAAAAGTGTAGCCATGTCAAATGTATACTCTATGGACTTCACAGACAGTAGCTCGGAGAAACACAACTCCTCAGGCATGGAGACATATATCTTAGAGTGGGACAGTGAGGACAGCGAATCTTCAGCTCTACAAGGCAATGTTAGCATCATCAGCGTGAAAGACAGGCCTACTAAACCTGTTCTTGTCAGCAAAGACGCACAATGTGATGTCACGAAGAAAATAAGCAGATCTTCCTCCACCAGTCTAAACAAATGCTCCATTATCGCACAAGAAATATTTACACAAACCAGTAAAACTATCATAGAGCTAGCTGAGAGTGACGGCGCGGTCAGAAAGCGGATCGACAGTAAAACATTAGAAACACAAACTTCCTTCATATCAATAACAGAAAACAAAACTTTCGAGTATAGAATAGAAGTAACTGGTGCTACACAAAATTTAATCAGGAACGAAGTCGGTGATTCAGGCGATAACTACCTCGATGTTATAACATCCCCACAAATATTTCCAAATTCTATCGACGATGGTTCATCAAAATTCGTAACATCCGAAACAGAAAACGAAAAATCCGATGACGGTACCAGTAATAATAGTTCGTGCAGCAACGACCAGCTTCCGGACGTAGTGAATGACAATTTTAAAGACAACGAACTGCTGTATGACGAATCAAATGAAGATCGTTCCGAAAACACCAGTGAATTTGAACAATCGCCAAACATCAGTGATATTGAAGAAGATTCACTCATGGAAATTAAAGATAAAGCTAGTAAACATGACAATGAAAATGACACATGTAACACGCCAATATCTGTTGACAATGATGTCGCTGAACTGTACACAAAATTATCTGAAACCGTTGAATTCCACATGCCGAACCCGGACCAAGAAAAGAAACGTATTGGGTACCTAACTCCTTTAACCGAGGAGTCAGTTGTTAAGAAAGATAGTACAGGGGAGATAGAATGTAGCTCATCTCATAACATCATAGACCTGACCGGAGACGACAACGATGTGTTGTTCACAAACAATGCTGGAATAAAAGTCAAGTTATTCCCCAAAAGTGAATCTAACAAAGAAATCGAAAGTTTCAAATTGCCCCCCATACAGGGGAATCACAATAACTCTGATGGTAACTTAAACTTCTTATTTAATAGCGGCAAAGGAACTAACAAAAGTAATTCATCGGGCGTTAATGATGATCGAAGAGACAGAAATTTGAATAGAAATATGGATAGATGGGAGTTAGGGACTAAGGATCTGGCATCAGGAGAGAGTCCACTAATTAGTGGAAGGAGTGGTAAGTTTACAAAGTGCAAAATCGATTGTCTGATACCTACCAGTTTCTAGTTACATAACTAAAAACTCCTATTTTGTTTGTGAGTAAACCTCCGCAGTAAGATGCTCACCCATTATACGTCAAATAAATAATATAGCTGTAGTTCTCAATCCATACTCAATATTTCTTGTCCCTAAAAGTAACATTAATCCCTTTTGAATTAGACGCTGAGAGAGCGTCACACGGGTCCGTGCAGCTGCCTCCAATCCACGTGGAAGGCCACGTGGCACACAGCCCCAGCAAACCTGATCAGCACTTGAGCAACTCGAGCAAGACAGACGTTGTGGCGTCCGAACCCACCTTGCCAATCAGTATTAAGGAGAAAATTAGGGAACTGAAGATGAGTCACAGACCACGAAACTCTTGGACTAATTCTAAGTATTAGTAAGAATAATTAGATACTAATTACCCTAAAAATAAGCATCTGGCAAAAACGTAACACGCGGGTGTTGTAAACATCTACTAAGTAATTACTACTGATGAACCTGGACCTTTTACACTGCAATCTCCAACATGCTTGGAAACACTATCTTACACTGCATTACCTTACATAAAATTTTTTTTTACATTACGATTTTCTCCTGTGTCGTGGGTGCGTTTACATAAACATACAAGTTCACATACACAAAGACCCGAAACAACAATTTGTGGATCACACAAAGTGTTGTTCCGTGCGGGAATCGTACCCGCGACACGTTGCACGGCAGCCGGTTGCCCAACCACCGCACCAACCGTAAAGTCTTGTATGAATTATACCTATTAGATTCGTAACATTCTTAACAACAAAATAGTCGTATAATTAGCACGTGTTTACCAGTGGATCAGGCAGTAGAAGCGGTTCTCCCAGCACGGTGTCTCCTGATGAGAGCCGGGTGACAGATGCTGCGGAGCGAGGGTGTGAGCTCGTCTGTATCGAGCTGCTCAAGAAACTTCGCTCACAGACTTGGTTAGTTGTGTAAATTCCAATAACTAACCAGATGAAAGGTGGGTAAAGCATAATATCATCTGAAGCGCGCCCAAGGTGCAAGCTATTGCCATATACAAAATGTGAACGATTCTAGAATGTGTGATGTTACTAAAAATTTTAAAAATCAAGTAACACTTCTTTCAACTTGGAAATCCCTTACTCGCTAGTTGCGCTTGCGAGACGACCAGTAACGGAGTCAAAAGATACTTCATCCTTAGATTTCATTCATTGCCAAACTCCTTCCTTAACAAATAAAGTTAGGTTTAAAAACTTCATTTAGATCTGAAAGTCATTTTGAACCCATGTTGAAAATGACTACAGTTTCAGTTTATTTGTCTCCCAGGTTTGAAGTAGCAGATTCATTAGAGGACCTCCCTCGATTAATGGACAAGTTTTGGAGCGTCATAGCGGAGCATAGAATCGCAGACCTAATACGACAAGTAACTCCTTACTTCTAATATTCTTCATTTAGTTTGTTTATATTCAAACAATAATAATAATAATATAATCAGAGCTGTAACAATTTTGTAAAATTTGTTACTTAAATAAAATAATCGTCAAGGTTCCCTAGTTCCAAAAATGCAAAACAAAATCTATTTAAACTACGCAAAGCTATATAAAAAAATATATTAATGTAGTTATGTGGTTTTTAATAACGTTAAATACGTTTAAAATTGTCATTTTCTCTGTAAGGTGACAGCGCACGTGGAATCTCCAAGAACACAAGTGGCGCGCGCCGCGTGCAATACTCTTGCAACAATACTCAAGAACACCAATTACACCAAGAAACCGGTTAGTTGTAGCTTAGCATTTTGTACTACTTTTTTTTAAGGGGGGAAAATCATCGAATGACTGCTCCCGCCTGGGTGAGGCGGGAGGGAGTGTCAGACTCATACTGACTAAAAACCACCCCGTTCCTTCTGCACGTCGAGCCGGAGCCCCGGTTACCCGTTAGGTTCTCCGTGACAGCATTTTGTACTATACTGTGGACTCATACTCAGAATTATCTCCTGTATCGTTGATGCCCTTACAAACACAAAATTCCATATGCACATCAGACGCCGAGCCGCGTCCGACAGTAATTGGTAAATCACACACATTCGTGCGAACTGCACCAACCATACAGTTAATTCCATTTATCTTCATAGATAACTCATTTATAATTCCAGGACTTTTACGAAGCAGTTACAATATTATTAATAAAGACTGGCAGCTTCAGTCGTCCTGTGAGACGTGCTGCCAATGTGGCTCTGGACGATATAGTCTGTGGCGTGGACTTGAGCCATGCAATCACTGCCCTCTGCATACATGGTGCTAGGTAAATACCTATCCAATATTTGTTGAACCATTTCCAGTCGGATTATTATTAACCCTGGTATAATTTTCTGCAAAATCTTTGCATGCGAAAAAGCAATGTATTTAAAACAGCAGCATTGACGTGTGTCATAATTATAAATATATCTTCTAGCCATAGCCCATTCATAGGAAGCGTCTTAGTCTAAAAACTTATGCCCGTAACTGGACCAATAAATGAACAAAAAATTACACTAAACCTCGTAGCTCGTAGGTGTGTCGTAGACCATGGCTCGTAGCTCGTAGCAGGTGTGTCGTAGCCACTCGTAGCCGTTCCCATGGATTACAGCCCGTAGCGCAGTAGTTCATGACAAATACCTACGAAATAAATATTTTTGCCACACTTTTCATACAAAGTGGTATTGTACGATTGAAAAATGATCAAATGATATGTAATTAAGACATAAAATCGTGTAGCCCGTAGCAGGCGTTTCGTAGCTCGTAGACCGTAGCCACGTATCCGTGCTGATTTCTCTTAGTGCAAAATAAATGTTGTAATGTAATCAATCCTTAAAAATATATTTGTTCTACATTCAGTCACAAGAGTGCGCTAGTGAGATGCGCGGCCGCGCGCCTGCTAGTGGTGTGCTGCGCGCTGGGAGGCGGGGGGCGGGACTTGCTGCGCACACGCCCGCCCACCGCCGCTTGCGCACGCAAGCACGCGCTCCGCTCACTGGCGTTACTGCTCGATGATAAAAGCACTGAAGCTAGGTATATGAACTTAAATATATAAGAAAGCTGGCTGAATTTTGTATATTATTATGATTCAGTTCAAATCTCATCATCTGGCCTTTGTTTTTTGAGCTTTTTGAAGCATCGCTTCCCGGGTTTAATGTCATTTCATATTAAAATAAAAATAAATGTTTCTCACGTTTTTGCATTGGAATGTAAAGAAATAAATAAAACAATGCATTCTTCCAGAAAATACGCCGAACGTTTATACTCAATGCTGCGTCCACTTGCAAACTTTGAGGCTTATTACCTAACTGACGTGGACCTGGACACAGCGTCGCGGCAGATGAAGAAATACGACCAGCTACTGCTGTGCGGGCCGCCGGAGAGCAGGTGACGCCACACTAGGACTAATGACGCGCCAGTGTGACATCATCACATTGTAGTGACCAGCGAATGATATTGACATAAGTATTAGATTCTTCGTGTCTATCATTGATTTACTTTACTCATTTATAGTTTGCGTTGAATTAAGGGAAGAAAATACTGGTATGAATAGATACCTTCTCTATTTATATTATCGACGACGATGTATACGAATCTTTTAGTGCTTTTCTGATTGTATAAATAAATATATAAATGTAATAATCCATTAAAAACACAACAGCATAATTATAAACACAAAAATAATGAAATGTAAACGTTTACTGTCGTTGTTTGGGTACCACGGGACTTTTGATTAGGATTTTAATTGAGTTTTAATTAAATTAAAACGTGCAATTCTGACTTCTCCGACTGTAATAGTCGATTCATTACTTTTTTGAAAATATTAAATACGACAATTTGGTAACATCTACATTATAACATCATTTTTTCCGTCAGTTTATTAATATTTATCGCAAATGAACTAAGTATTGAAGAAAATATAAAAACAGTGTATCAATACTTTCAAGATTGGTTTGTTTTTAAGTACTTAATTTACTACTTACTTAGATTCTTGTTTTCATGTGATTACTAACGACACTTTTTACTTACTCTAAATTAAGAATAAGAATACTTATGTATTCATGCTGTATGTATATTATACAGCGCGTATCCCATTATCTCCTAAGAAAATATCCTTCTTTATAATGCGGTCCTTTATAAACTGTCGGAAAAATAAGATTAACATAAAGTTCAACCTGGTCCAGGTAACTGGCAGAATATGAAATTCAGTCCTTCTACTGGGATATTAATAGACAAATATATATACATCATCTCAAATCGAAAATTTCCACTCAAAATGTCGGCAGTGTTCTATTTTCACATATATATAATGTATATAAGTTCCGTGGTACCCAGATAACATCAATTGATAGTTAATCTGTAGTTCTATAATATATAACTAAAACAAAATTTGTTTTCGTAATGGAAATAGAGTTTTGTAAATATATATATATATTGTATTTACATTATATCTCGATGCTTGTTTTATAAACATTTAAATCTGTGACAGTTAATAAGTAGTTTTTCACTGTGAGTTTGTATGGCCACGGTTCTAAAATAAGTATGACATTCAGATTTATAGTAAACCATGTAGATTATGTGCTATCTTTTATTTTAGAGCTAGCTTCTGCCAGCGGTTTCGCCCCCGGTCCTGTGGTATAAAAAGTAGCCTATGTGTTTATTCAAACCATGATCTATCCCTGTTTCAAATTTTATCCCGATCGCTTCTGCCGTTTCGGTGTGAAAGGGTAACATATACAAAAACACATACTCGCATTTATTATATTAGTAGGACTAGCGCCCTGATCAAACTTTACACAGTTTTGACAATATACACACATTATTCTAAAAAATTAACATAACATAACATCACGCCTTTTATCCCCGAAGAGGTAGGCAGAGGTGCACATAATGCCACTGTACAATGTAACACCCACTTTCCACTATTTATGTTATGAGTCCCATGTAATAGGGGGAGAGCCTATTGCCATATACCGGTCACAATTCCAGACTCCGTGCTACTGCTGAGAATTTTTAAAAACCAAGTAATACTTTGCCCGACCCGGGAATCGAACCCAACACCCCTTGCTTGGTAGTCGCACTTGCGACCATTAGGCCAACGAGGCAGTCTAAAAAACTATGTTTATAAAAACCAATGTCAACCCCTCCTTTCTTTGAAGTCGGTTAATTAAAGTGTAAAAAACATTTTTCTGTAACCCACATCAAAATCCGTTCAGCCAATCGTGAGATAATCGCCCACAAACATACATACAGGTGAAACTGGAACCTCCTTTTTTTCTTTTTGAAGTCGGTTAAAAATACAATTTCATTATCGAATGGATATAGAGACGGAAAGATAGAGCAACAGATGAGGAACTTCAACAATATATGTATGATATGTAATGATTTATATCAGCTCAGAGATAACCCCATCTCTATTACAATCATAATTATTAATGGCAAACTATAGATTCTAGTACAGATGTGACTCTGGGGACATAGCACACGCATTCGAAATAATGAAAATATATATTCAATTTTGCTGAGTACCTATATATCTAAAGATTTGTGTGTTAAATTCCACATCCCATACTGAAAAGAAAGTAACTAGTATGTAAAAACATCTAATATATACATTCCTTGGCTAGTTCTGTACCAAACATTTCAATAAGCATATTCAGTTAGTTTCTCATCTACAGATCTACTTTTGGTATGGCTCTATAATAGACATTCGTTTGGCACAACTAAATAGAATAATATCTATCATTCATCATATATCTTAGAAAACAATCACGTGTGTATCAGATGGACTGACAGTTGACAGATAACTGGAACGCATCATGAATGATTTTTAGCGCAGCTTGCATGATTCACGAATAGAAACAGAGTGCACGTGTAATGTCGGACGGCCGGCCGCCCTAGCGACATGATCGCACGACACGTCGCGCGTATGTAGTGGCCAGTACATCACCAATGACACACAGCACGAACAAACAACCTCTGTGTGCGTAAAACCTAACTAACACGCTACCAGTGTGCGTAAGGGCCCCGCGAGTGCATCCGCACTGCACAAGTGCACCCGCACTGCACCAACCAAGGCCAACACACGAACATTATATCAATCTGTTCTATTGATAACTTTCTACGTGTTTCCATATTACGGTTGTATTTAAAATCTAATAACAAAGCCATTTTATCTTATAATGTGATCTGACCTGGTGATCTTGACGTAAGTGCGCCTAGATAGTGCGTCGATACATCTGTTATTGGTACGGTGAAGTTGCCACAATCGTTCAGGTCACTTGGATTGTCACAACAATTGCAACTTGCGTGCGCGCAAATACCTCGGGGCCCCGCGAAACAGATGAGCGTACAACGTGCTCGATTCGCTCCACGTCTGCATATTCCTAATGATAGATATATTTATCTTCGTATTCTCTCTGAAATGCGATGCACCAGGCTGTGGTTTTTCTCGAGTTTCGACACAAGCGTAGCTGATGATTGTGTCATTAAGAAGTAGAAGTTTCCTTGAAAAGTAACACAAACGTGTAGTACCTACACAGGATCGCTCGAATGACCTAAAACTCATAACTTGAATATAAACAAACAAGTAGGAAACATTTATTTAGAAAAAGTGCAAGTTCTATTGTCGTTGAAGGAATAAAAAGCACAAATACAATGTTACACAGATTGTCTCAAAATACCTCTAGTGAAATAATATCGGTCACAGCCAGTCTTTGTTCTGCCCGCTAGGCTTGTTGCCCACTAATATCAGAACTGACTCACAATTCAAGTAAAAAGGTTGCTGATAAACTCTTTTCTCTCATTTTACGAGTGAGATAAGAAAGAAATAATATAAAATATATTGTTTTATAACACATTTCCACTATCTGTTTATCTATTTGTCCCACCCACGTCGATTATCTTTACGGCTCTGAAAAGAACCGCAGGTCATAAGCCAACTATGACAATCGTTTACACTAGTATAACCTGACATCTGTAATCACCCTTTTTACAAGTGTATAAAGTTTATTATCGCATGGTTTACAGGTCTATCACTGGTCGTATCAATATCGGACGATTCTGTATGTTCTTGCAAGTGGTCAAGTGATAGGTTAGTTTCTAGTTGATTTGTAAAGCTTGCTGTTTATCTATACTAGTTTTGGCGCGTGGCTTCTCTGCGATAAAAAAGAATAATTTATTTCAGGAGTACTTATAAATATAAAAATAATGTGAAACTCAATCGGTTGACTAACTACGGTGACGTAGATCGGATTATACATTTAGGAGCTTGTATCTAGGTACAAGATATTTCTTATCAGCCGTTGTCGTCACACTGCAAGGCAAAGATATTAAAAGCTTAAAATTGTCATTAGATTAGGTACTTTATCTAAAGCATGCTTTTCTAAAACTTAGACTCCCCTTTTTCATTACATTATATTCTCCTTTTCCAATAGTGGATTATTTTTTATATGAAAGTCTCTTATAAAAACCTTGTCACCGAATAATGCCCTCTTTCATTGCACACTTTACATTTAAGTGTGGGAGAGCCATGCTGGAATGGGCCGGCTCGACCGGAGTGATACCACGGCCTTACAGAAAACTGGCGTGAAACAACGCTTGCGTTGTTCCTCAATCTCCCCAATCTCTGAGGATCCTCAAACTCCTAATCCCCAAAAAGCCGGTAACGCAGTTGTAACGCCTCTAGTGTTCCAGGTGTTCATGGGCGACGCCGATTGCCTACCATCAGGTGACTACTATAGATATAGGGTATCAGCCAGGGCCTATAGTACTAAAAAGAAAAAGTTAATATAGATACTATTAGTATAAATACTAAGTATAAGCACACGTCTTTCTACCCTGTCGGATACTGAGGAGCGCAATGTTGTGCTGTTGTTCAAGATTAAGAATTGCAGCGGGAAAATGTAATCAGTGATCAATAAGTAGGTATTACATAAAACCGTCAAGTACAATCACACGTTAATTGTAATCACGGTTAAGTTATAATATAACTACAAATAATAACATATTAATATAACTGCGAGATAAACCGACGGGTTAACGTCACATTTACGTACGTAAACCATGTGTGCTAATGTGCTGGTCATTTACAATCAACCACGTACGCATATTTATGAAGAAAGTAACTTGTTCTGCGTCTTTTGCTAATAAAGTAACATTATATTTCTAATATACTAGTAAACAAAGGGACAGGTTCAACACGAGGCATCTAAAACCCTTTGAATTACGTAACTGTGGGCCATAAAACTCTTAAAAACTTGTAGCTGCCGTAAAAGTAATTAAATCTAGGAAGCCTACCTAGTCTAGTGTGTTAGTATGTCACGCCGTAACCATTGAACCGATCTTATTACAGTACACAGTAAGAATAAACCTTGAGAAAGGACGCAGAAACGTATAGTCTAATATAGCTGTATCTGTCGCGGAGAACCTAACGGGTAACTGGGGCTCCGGCTCGACGTGCAGGAGAGGGAACGGGGTGGTTTTTAGTCAGTAAGAGTCTAACACTCCCTCTGAGCAGACAATCGATGATTACCCGCCTTAAAAAAAATAGCTGTATCTATAACTCGAATAGTATCTATAGGTTTTCATTTTACGGCCCGTCTCAAACCACTGCTGGACGTCACCCTTCTCAACATAAGAGTGACGTACTGCCATAATTTCGAGTCACTTTTTAAATTTTCAGCTTTGTAAGGGATCGCTTCAACCTCTATCTAATGTCTATTTCCTTGATCAGCTTTTCCTACACCCTGAGGATAAGCAGGGCTAGTAACAAATGTTTTACTTATCGTCACGAATTCGAAGACAAATCTTGGCCAGCACTCGCCCATGTACCGTATGTGTTGTTATTCTAATAACATTTGTAAAGACATTGATGTCTTCCGTCTCGATTCTCTTGCCTCTTTCAAGAAGAAGCTAAGATCTTTTTACACATTTTGAACTAAAGTTTTTGTTTCCATTTAGTAATGTAAGATTTTTTTATTATGCATGCCGTGTTCACATCTAGTAGGATATAATCTTAATTAAGTTTGTTGCGGTATCTTATATGTATGTTTGATTGTATTCAGTTTTTTGAAACAAATAAAAAAAAAAAAAAAATTAGCAATTAGGTACCCATAATATAAATAAACCAGGAATGTATCATGATACATATTATGCCAACTTCATTCTTAAACATGAATCATATAGGTATAGGTAAATTAGCGGTTAGTTTATAGTTCAATGTACTAAATGAGAGTCCATTCATAAATAAAAATGGCACGCTTGAGATAACGTCCGAATTATTAGCTCTATGTTATCGCTTACCTACTTGTATGTAATTAATCTCCCACCTAGGCGGGCGCACCCATTGACATTTAGCTCTTCTAATCTATTTCATTGCAAAGGTAACAACATTATTGGGTTCTATTTATAGAAGTGCATGTAACCAAATATTTACGTATTATGTCGGCATTGTATTACGCCTATCTCATAATCAGCCAAG